CATAAAATATAATTTAAGTTCATGTTTAATCATCTGATTCGTCTGTATATTGCTGTTTTAGTCTGTGTTCTTCTAATTAGTGTGTGCCTATTGAGACGTTTTGAGCAATGTGGGACAAAACCCCATCATGCCCCTCCCTCTCACTGTCTAAGTCAGGGGTCGGCAACCCCCTGGCACGCGTGAATAAGTGTGCAAAATATTTAAATTGNTTAATCCGGCCTTGTGTATACCACCCAAAGAAGAAAAAGATCAGGGTCGTATTTGACTGTGCAGCTACATTCCAGGGAACATCGCTGAATGCGCAGCTCGGAGCTGCGCATTCAGCGATGTTCCCTGGAATGTAGCTGCACAGTCAAATACGACCCTGATCTTTTTCTTCTTTGGGTGGTATACACAAGGCCGGATTAACCATATGGGCAACCTGGGCAAGCGCCCAGGGGCCCTTGAGTAAAGAGGGCCCTCAGTGACAAGATAAAAAGAAAAAAAGTTTTTATTTTTTTATCTTGTCTTTTTGGGCACAACCTCACTCATCATACATTCTTTTAAATGACACTCACTACTCGCTATAAATAACACAGCTTTTCTATAGGGTCAAATTAATATATTTTCTAAACCGTCTCTGTACTGTAGGACTGACTATGTATGCGCTCAACTACTACGCAGCGGCGGTGTATAGCCGAATCACAGCCCCACCCCCTCACTCATGTCACATTTTGTCACGTGAGCTGAAAAAATGGATTGTGCCGGTAGCCAAACGACCAGCAGGGCTGCGAAAAGAAAGAAAAAGAAGAGAGAGTGGCAGCTGCATTAAAAAATGTCCCAACAATAAATAGCTTTTTCAAAAAAGCAAAAAGTGACGAAATAGGCCAGCAACCACAAGGAACTGTGGTTGGTCACGGAGGATGTTGTTGAGCTAGCGAGCAATGTTAGCCTTGAGCCTTGGATTTTGATGACCTAATCACAGACTTTTCAAAGAGAACGGCAAGGAAGAAACACTTCTAAAAGGTAAGATCCACTGTCTCTCACACACACTCATTCTCTCGCTCTCTCTCTCACACACTCACACAAACACACTCACACTCTCTCCCTCTCACACACACACACACACACACACACACACACACACACACACACACACACACACACACACACACACACACACACACACACACACTATCTTCCATCACATATACTGATCACTTAGTTGAGCAACCACACAATTTCACTACATATTTTACTTTTGTAACTCTCAATGTTTGTGACCAATAGAACTCTTTGTGTACTTGTACAACCAGCCAGTCATATTTTGGCATTAAGTGGGGTGCTGCTCTGAGGTTTTGAGTGATATTACCTAGGCCATACACTGTCNTACGTGTTCGGCGTAATGACATACAACGTTTTGATAACAATTAAAAAGGGAGGGGTCTGAGCTCATGCGGGACCCGGCAGCTACTGTCTAAACTAAATACTGCGGTGATGAAACGCCATATCATGGATTATCAAGGATTGTTTCTGAAACAGTATGGAGCTCAAAGGCTTTCTCTCTGGCCGGTTATACCACAAGGTGAGTTCCTTTTTATTTCCTGCTTCTTCACACACATGCTCTCCAGTACAGGTTAGCTCTGAGTGTTAGCGATGCTAATGTAAACACCGGCCATATTACGTCCAAAACAGTCGTTGCTGATAGCAACGTTTCTGATAGGGCCGTGGGTCCACATTTCAGATATTACGTCATATCGGACGCAAATCTGGATCAGCTCCGTTGTCCCCCGTTTTTAGAGATTTGGGTACGGAGGAAAAGAGAGGGTTTTATTTTCTGACGCTGCGTGAGTTCCCTGAGACACCGGGGACACATCTTTATGTATAAAAGACATCAAAAAGTGCATTTTGCATGATAGGTCCCCTTTAATATACACATAATACATATTGTATATAAACCTAAACACCCTGAATATATTGTATAGCAGTGTCTGGAGAACGGCCATGCAGCGTCCTCTCTAATCCTCACTCTCACAAACTTCAGCGCCCTCATTCTTCCTGCATGCACCAACCCTCTCTGTCTCTCTGGGCAACAACAACTCATTTCCACTAAACAATACAGCGCCTGTGTGGCTGCTTTGTGCGAATGTGTTTGTATGAAAAGGGAAAGAGGGGAGGGGACTCGGAGAGAATCATGACAACAACACTCACCATCAGCTGTGAA